ACACACACACACACACACACACACACACACACACAGAGAGAGAGAGAGAGAGAGAGAGAGAGAGAGAGAGAGAGAGAGAGAGACAGACAGAGAGACAGAGAGAGTCATACTACTTGCTGTTCCTCCCTGAAGCCATTTTACATTTCTGCCTACTGACTTAGTCTTCAGCCATTTAGGTTTTACACTTTTCACAGCAAATCTGATAGCTCTGTGAAGGGGCTGATATAAAAGGGGTGAGAGATCCTCTTTGCTGTCTTGGTTCAGATTTTTTTTTAAAGTAGAGCTTAAAACATACAGATTTTATGTCCACAACTCCATCTGAGTCCTGGCTTAGCGAGTGAATGTGTGCACGCATCAAGGAGGTGGAGAATAAGGCAAACTGGAGGAAAGACCTTGGCCTCCAAGACTGTTCCTTCTGAATTTGTAGCAACGGTTAACGACCTTACATTGCAGCCTGGTTCAACAGGAGCAGTTCATGGGAAGCACAAAATGCGAAGGCCTCAGCTTCTATAAAGGCAGGAAAATAATACTAATTTCACCTCTTGTTGAGACATACTGAATTTGAATGAACAATCCCCCCCCCCAACAGAACCTTGAATGAACAAGATCTTTTCTGTTTATTAGCAAACTGTCTCAAATTAGAAGTGTAAAAACTAAACAGAATTTTGCTTCAACGATATTAAGTTTTTTTTTTTTTTTTTAATTCTCTTCTCCCCCTTTTCTTTGGTACAAGGTCTCATACTGCTCAGGTAGCAATCCTCCTGCCTCAGTCTGTTGAATGTGGAGTTTAGGGCGTAAACCACCATTACCCACCTCTTCCCCTTTATTTTGTACTACTTGGCTTTCTCCCAGACCTCATCCTTAACTGTCAAGGTGCTGAAGGGTCAATCCTGGCTGTTTAACAGAGTGTACTGGTGGAAGACAGAAAGCACTTCAGTGACCAGAAAAGTTGGAACCTATCAGGAGGCTCTTGGAAACTTGGGCAGCTTCATTTTTCTCTTCCGATTCAGATTCCTATCTGGAGATACCGAGGACAGTTCCGTCCACAAATCTCTCGGTAACTGCCCCCCACCCACTGCGAGTCAGTGAGAATCGTTTCTCCTCCATGGTACAGAGTACCCCACTTTCTACGACGGCTCTAGGGTTAGAGGCCACTCGAGGCACTCAATGGCGTTTTAGAAATAGGAAAGGCCAGCAGGGCTGCAGGGCGGCCCGAGGCGCAGCGCGTGGACACCGCGCAGGAATCCCACGGCGCCGAGGCCGCCATGTTCTCGCCGACCACGCCCCGGAGGCCCGCGGCAGCCGAAGGTCGGTGTTCGTCCGCCAGCCCCGCTCAAGCGGCCCTGACCGTCGCGCCCCGGCTGGGCCCGCGCTGGAGGGAGGTGGTTGTGGAGCGGGGCGGGCAGCCGGGGGCGGGGCGAGCTACTGGGGGCGGGGCTAGCAGCGCTCAAGCCGTCCTGGAGGGGCTGCGGCACCGCCTCCCTCGCTGCGCCCGCCCCCTGCGCCCGCCCTCCTCGCGCCGCCACCGCCGCCTCCCTCCCGGATCTGTGCTCCAGTTCAGAGAAAGGAGAAAATGTGTGTGTGTGGCGAGGGGGAGGGCGAGCACTGAGCAGCCGCGGCGCGCCTGGCAATCGGGCCGGGTGGGCGTCCGGCGGAGGCGGGGGCGGAGGCGGGGAGCGCGCGGCGGCCGGCTGCCCGGTTTGCGCGCGAGCCGAGTGGGCGCGGGCAGGCCGAGGGCGCCCGGAGCCGAATCGGGTGGCGGCGAGGAGCGGACGCGCTGGGCGCGCGGAGGAGCCGTCGGCGGTCGCTCGCTGCGGGGCCGCCTCGGTGAATGAGCTCGGGCCGCTGGGCGCACAGCCTAGGGCAGCGGCGGCGGCGGCGGCGCGGGGCGCCAGGAGGGCCGCGCGCTCCCTGGGAAGGCGGCGTGTGAGCGCGGTCGGGCGCGGCGGCCTTTCCTCGCGCGCCCCAGGCCCCCGGCTCCCGCTCGTCCCCGGCCCGCTTGGGCTGCGGGCCCGGCCGTCGTCCTCACCGCGGCTCCCCTGAGCTCGTCCCGGACGCGCGCCCGGGCGGCTGGGTTCCGCGACTGCCGCTGCCTCGGGGGAGCGAGGGCGGAGGGTGTGTGTGTGTGTGTGTGTGTGCGCGTGTGAGCAGGGCGCCGGCGGGGCTGCAGCGAGGCACTTCGGAAGAATGACTCTGGAGTCCATCATGGCGTGCTGCCTGAGCGAGGAGGCCAAGGAAGCCCGGAGGATCAACGACGAGATCGAGCGGCAGCTGCGCAGGGACAAGCGCGACGCCCGCCGGGAGCTCAAGCTGCTGCTGCTGGGTGAGTGCGGCCCTTGGGCCCGGGTGCCCCCCGCCCCGGGCTAGCCGCTGCCCTCCCCGCGCGCGCCCCCGGCAGGCACCCGCACCCGCGCGCGCGCGCCCAGGGGCCGAGGGCCGGGGCTGCCCTGCGCGGAGCCGCGGCGTGCGCCTTCGGTGGCGGTCAGGGCCGAGCTGTGTGCGGGACGGCTGAGCGTTCGCGCGAGCGGCGCGGGTGGGCGATGGCGTGCAGTGCGGTGGTCCGCCAGCGTCCATTGTGGCGCGTTGTGGGGTGGAGAGGGAAAGGGTGGAAACGGGGAGCAGACCGAGGGCTGGATTCGGCTAGGAAAAGGTGCTGTGGAAGCCGTGGCCGGCGCTCCAGAAAAACCCGGCTAATGGACTGGGCAGGGGCGGGGCGGGAAAGGTTAGCCCAAATGGGCTCTACTGTCGTCTAGGCCACTGAGAGGAGCGACCCCACAAGAGTTGCTTGGCCGGTGGATGGTGACAGGCGTCTCTTCTGCACCATTCCTTCTGGATAAAGATGAAGGACCAGGGAGGGTTGTGCTGTGTGGTTGTTGACAGCGGATGGGTATCTTTTGTTTAATGAGGCGACCCAGATGTATGCCTGAATTCACTGCAGTTTCTACTGGAAACCAGCGCAGCCTCTAGTTACTCTCCTGGAAACAAACAGAAACCTTTTGTTTCAAACGGACATTTTAGTATCTTGCCATCTGGGCTCCAAGAAAAACGGGAAGAATGCGAGAAAATTTCCCTCTAATCTCGTTTAAAAAAAAAAAAACAAACCAAAAACGACAACACAACATTCTACGTTAATTCGAAGTTAGCAAGACAATTCTTTCAAATAGGAATTATATTCTTATCTCCGTGAGAATGTTCAGAACCAAGCGATCAGGGTTCACGTACAAGCTAGCATGACATAAGTCTAAGCTATTGTGGTAGGAAGCGTGAACAGTTTTGTAGGAACAGGCCTGAAAAATGTCTGCACTTGTGTTTATTTGTATGAGTAAAAATAACGCTTCTCAAACATTACTGTAAGAAAAGGATACTGCATTGTTAGTTTCAATTTGAGAAGCGCCCTCCCCCCCCCTTTTTTTTTTATCTGGAGCATTCAATCTGCTGGCTCCAGGAACCCATTACCTTTGGGACTGAATTGCTTATGTACTGGATTGCTTACAATCAGGAGCAAAATATTATATTCACAAACGGTTCCCAACGCTGTCTCCTCGCCTCGACTTAAGTCTTCATATTGAAATCCAGTTCGATAAATGTGCAAATATAAAGTGTTCATAAGGAACAGAAGGCAAGGGGCAGCATGGAGAGGTGGGTTTCAGGGAAATGAAACCAGGGGAACAGGAAAATTGGGTAAGTAGAGCCTGTCCACCCTTGTCATTTTGTCATTTCTGTTAATTTCTCATGACTGAAAGATGGAATGCCTTTTTTTTTTGAGAAGGAAAAAGCAAGGGCAAGTGGAATAAATATATAGTGTTCCAGTGTACAATTAAGAGGAAAAACATGTATTTTAGAGATTTTCTCTGAGACCTGGGTTTTAATTTTCCTTTGTTTACAGTCTTCATATGTTTGTGTTTAGCTAGGAACAGGGCATTTGAGGTCTTGTTAACCAAACTTACTTGCCTGAAATTTGACAGCTCTAGATTTCCCAGCAGCTATGAGTTGGTTCAGTTTGCCAGAGGGCCTAGGTTTAAATGCCTGAGAAAGGAATACACTTACTGAGATACTTAATTACATGCTATGTATTTTAATAATATATCATGCTTTTAAAAATGAACGTGGAAATGATTGCTAAGAAAAAACCCCACAGTTTTACTGCTAAAAAAGTGGTAGGTATAAGTGTGTGACTGCCTTCCCCCCACTTATTATACCTTTGATCAGGGTTTCACGCAGCCTCACCTCACCTATCAAAGACAGACCGTAAGGGGTGGGAGAAAGATTTGCTGTTTATTCAGCACCTACATTCATGAGCACTGTTTAAAAACCATAGTTATCTGTCAGAAACAGGAGCCTGGACATCACTGAGCCATCGCTACTGACCTCAGGCTAGATCTGCTTCTCCCCCTGTGCAGTGCCCACACTATTTGTGTAGTCATGGCAGACATTAAGTGTGGATCTGTGTGTGTGTGTGTGTGTGTGTGTGTGTATGGGGATGTGACTTTACAAGCTTAGGAGTTTAGCAAGGGACTACTGAGTGTTGATTTGAACAAGGAAGGATTTTGGGGAGGGGCTCCTTTGGGAAATTCCTGGTCCTGCTGCTTTGTGAGTAGTCTTCATTCCTTAGTTCAGTTGTTCGTTTTCCCAACCCCCATCCAGAGGAGATCACAGAATATATTCCCTCACAGTTTCCAGAGGAGATCACAGAATATTCCTTCACAGTGTAAAGTTCCTTCTGCAGCTTTGATCATTTGTTTATGTGGAGGGATCACCCGTGTGTTGAAATGAAATTCTGTGTAAAATTGTTTTCAAAGTAAGTTTTAGTTCAAGGCTGACATTCATGGAAAGGGTTTGCTCCTCAGGGTTGTAATGCTTTGTTCATGTAATTTTTTTATTTCTTAATACTGTAGCAGTATCACAAAACTGTGGCTATCTGTGTGGCAGTAAAATTTGGGCTCTTTTGAGTCCTAATGCTGCACTTATGCCAGTGTGATCCACATTTATTCTGTGGTTACACATTTTGGTTGTATTCTTCTTGAAGAACAATCTCTGACTTTTTGTCACACTAGGAGCTTCATTTTAACTTTGTCATTTTTGTCTTGTTCTCTTTCATTTCATTCACATTAGTGTGTGTTTTCTTTGACACCTCAAAGAAAACTATATATAGTGTATATATATAGTATATATATATATAGTAGGAAGGTATTTGATATTTAATATCTTGCCTTTATAGTTGAAACATCATGGTTGTTCCAATTTCTTAAGAGCAAATGGCCCTGAATGCTTTAGGTCATAAATAATCATGGGGAAGTTTTATTCGATTCCTTGAAGATATTACCTGTCTCCCCTTTGACCTGTTGTTTTACATGTGTTTAAAATCTCTACTCTGTAGACCTTAGTCATCAAATTAGCAAAACCTTTATATTTATGGATTCGTCCTATTGAAAATAGGCAGTGTTTAGGTCAGTCTTAAATGGAAGAACATATGTATTTGGCCTTTGGGAGTGAATCACACACATTTAACAGTTTTTATCTGTTCCATTCCGCAAGCTTATGAGGGTAGGACCGTGTTTGTTTTGTTCACTGCTAAGTTCCAGCTTCTAGGACTGTGTCTGTAAGAGTGGTCTTAATCAATACTTGCTGAAAACATAATTTTGTCTCTTGAAGAAAGTCACATGTAGCTCTTTGAGCCAGCAAGTTACATATGCATCCCAGGGTGGTGGACGCCTGCGCAGTATGGTATGTTTTATGCTGGGTATGTTAGAATGGGAATCTAACCCAGCATCTCACACTTACTAGGCAAGTGCTCCAACTTTATACTTCTTATTTTGAGACAAGTTCTCACTAAGTTGTCTAGGGAAACTATGCATTTGGATCCTCCTGCTTTATTCTCTTGACCAGCTAAGATCACAGACCTGCATCGCTAGGCCCAGGCCAGTCATGATCATAGAATATAAATTTCAAGACAACCAGTCTATTCTATACTTTGATTACTGTTTATCATATAAAGGCTAGTTTAAATACATCATATTTTTACTGGATATTATTCTCCCATGATACATTGATCATAGTGAATTTTTAATATTCCTTTGATGATCAGGCAGATTTTTGTGGTTAATACATACATCGACATGAAGGAAACTTCAGTGGTTAAGTACAGACTGTTAGGAATTGGAATTTGTATTGAAAATTATAGGTATAAAACAAGAAGGGACCTGGAAGGTTGGGAGTGGGTGCTTTGTCCAACTTAAGTTAGAGAGTATTGCTCTGTGCACATTTAAGTATTCTTCCAAATCCCCTTAAGTAGCTGTCAGGTTGGCTGTCCTGAACCTCCTGCCCTGGAGATACCAAATTGTGATGTTGCTGTAATGACTGACCACTTGTCTTGTTTTGATGCTTTTTCATCTTTTTAAAATAAGTGTTGAATTACATTTTTAAAAACCAAGATTTATTTCTATGTATTTCCTCTTTTTTTTAAAAAAAGAAAAACAAAAAACAAAAAATGGAGTATTTATATCTGAAGGCTGAAATGGGGCCAGGATGTAGAAATGGAAGCTATAGCTCTGACTGACAGTCTCCAGAGTAAGGTTTTTCACAGAGCCGTGTGTATTCTCTATCCTTAGCTGACATACACCTGTCAGTTTTGGAATTATGAATCTTCATCAGAGAGTTTTGGACTAAATTAAAGCCCCACTGAGGGTCTTTCTGTGTGAAGTTATTCTCTGTGAATCTGTTCAAATATTTGTATGAGAAGAGAACCAGAAGAGCCGTCTAGTAGCCATCTTGTTTACCACAAACAAATTCAGGAGCTCCTTCTTAGGAATACTAACCCAGTTCCCTTTTACGAAGTGGCTTATGTTCATTTTTCAGAAGTACTCAATAAATATAGTTAGGGCATTATTATTATTATTATCATCATTATTATTATTATTATGACAGATGAGTTTCTAAGGACCCGAAACAGCTTTTGTAGCTATGAGGCTATTTGTGCTATGCTAAACTTAGCAGAAAAGGGAAAAGGTTTTTCTTCATGATCCAGCCAAGCTTTATATTGGAGAAGAAATGAACAGGATTTTCCAGGGTGATTTTGCTTCCAGGATCCACATCAGTTTTTCTTTAAAGGGAGCTGTTGATGTTAGTGGAATGATGATTGGGGTTGAAGAGGGAAAATCGGGAGTGAAGGAGATGTCTTGGAAGAGAGAAGCCATTTTCAGGTTGGAAATGTTTTCTCAAGAAGGCGGCGGGGCTGTCTCCTGCAGTCCTGGTGGATTGGGTTGAGAGGGATACGTACATTTATAGCAACAGATTTAAACTCATTTCTTGGCTGAAGAGGCAAGC